CCTCAAAGATTAACTAAAAGACTTAGAATCTAGCTGGGTGCAATGGCACACGCCTATAATCCCAGCAGTTTGGGAAGCTGAGGCAGGAGGATCACTAGTTCAAAGCCAGCCTCTGCAAAAGCAAGGCACTAAGCAACTCGGTGAGACCCTGTCTCTAAATAAAATACAAAAATAGGGCTGGGTSGAGTGCCTCTGAGTTCAATCCCCAGTAACCCCCCCAAAAAGAGATTTAGAATCTAACCAATATTCACATTTTCCTTCTTCATTTAACTTCTGAAAAAATAATAGAAGAAATTTAAAATATAAAATTGTCACTTACCTCAAAATAATAGTCCCCATTTTACTCTTTTAGGAAAATAGACAGCATTACTTATTTTTTAAACGTGAAGTTTTCATGGAAGACTTTTTCTGATTAGAAGATACACTACAAAGAAAGGTTGAACAAAAAAATATTAATCTAAATGGGCAAAATTAAAATTTTACTACTTATATGATATTTAATTCCTTTACAACTCTACACATTTTAAATACAGGTTGAAAAACCAGGTGTGATGACACACACCTGCCTGTAATCCCAGCTACTTAGGAGGCTGAGGCAAAAGGAGCACAAATTCAAGGCCATTCTGGGCAACTCAGTATGACCCTATCTCAAAATAAAATAAAAAGGACTGTGAATATAGCTCCATGGTAGAGTGCTTGCCTAGAAGGCCCTAGGTTCAATCTCCAGTGCTGAAAGATAAAATGGGAGAAAATATTTGCAAATCATATCTGATAAAAGACTAATCAATATTCTGGAATATATAAAAATGGGTAAATGTTACAGGCATATAAATTATCACATGCAAAATTATAACACATACCAAATTATATCACCCTCTTAAAGTATACATGTGAGYTGGTTTTAGTATATGCACAGAGTTGTGCAATCATAATCACAATCAATTTTAGAACATTTTCATTACCCTGAACTGGGACCCCTTATACTTCAATAGCTTCTCATTATAAAAATCTTAATATTCRGGATTAAGGATAGAGCTCAGTGGTAGAGCCTTTGTCTAGCATTTGTGAAGCCCTGGATTAAATACCCCCATAAAATAACAAAAAAAATCTGAATATTCAATGATGATATCTGGGCATTTGTATGTTTTACATGCTCCATAGTTAATTCTGATTTGCAGTCAGGACTGACACGTAGTGCTCAATAAACACTTAGATGAATGSGTGGGTGGTAAGGGAATGGATATGTTAAAACAGGTTTTTTTTTTTTTTTTTAACTCTTTTCACCCCTTTTATTTTTCTGGTGCCAATATATTGTGGACATTCTTTCTTTTTTTTTTTTTTTAAATTTGTTTTAATTAGTTACACATGATAGTACAAAGACCTTGACATTTGAATCAGATGGGATATAATATCTCATTTTTCTGAGTATACAGGTAAAACAGGGGTTCTTAAGCTTGATAATATTGACATTTTAAGTCACTTGTTTGTTTGTGGGGCTGTACTATGTGTTTCTGGAAGGAATTTAACAATATCTCTGGCCTTAACCCATGAGTTGCCAGTAGCATTTCCCCATTTATGACAGTTAAAAAAAAGTCTCCTAATATTTCCTAATGTCCCCTGATGACAAAACTGCCCTGGTTGAAAACCCCTTGAGTAGATTAATAAATGTATACAGAGATGGATACATGCTTACATGGATGGATATGTGGATGGATGGGTGGATGAAAGGGTGGATGGATCAATGATCAGTTCTCATAAAGCTAACTGAATGTTTTTGTTCCTGAAGTTTTTACTCTGAATACATCCCCCTTGCTTGTTGTCCATCAAATAGCATAGCAGAGTAAATATTTGGAACATAAAATAATTGGAAGACTACAGAAATTAAAATTTCAGACACTGACATCATTCTCCAATGTAAAACTGAATTCTAAAGTCTGACCCAAGAAAAAGACTTGATAAATATAGTGTCATAAAATAAAACTGATTATGGCAAAAACTATATGTGGTAAATTGTTACTAATTGAAAACTGACAAAAGAATCAAATCTTGGTCACAATACCAAGATAAAATAAAATTTTGACCTGGGRTGTGAGGGCAAGAGAAAAGAGACCCCATTCGCTTTAGCATGTTTTCAAGGTTCATCAATGTTGATGTATATAYTAGAACATCATTTTTAATAGCTGAATAATATTCAATTGTATGAATAAAACGCCTTTTGTTTATCCACTTATTGACATACATTTAGATTGTTTCCAACAAATATTATGAATAGTGTTGCTATGTACATCCATGTACAAGTTTTTGTTTTTTATAGCTTAGCGTGGTGGCACACACATAATCCCAGTGACTTGGAAGGCTGAGGCAGTAGGATCACAAGCTTGAGACGAGCCTCAGTGACTTGCTGAGGCCCTAAGCAATTTAGCAAGACTT